TTTTTGAATGCTTTCAACTGGTCAGCATGGAGTCACATCAGTGTGCCCCGCAAGGACAGCAGGGGTGTCCTGCAGGGTCTTAGGGTGCGGGGCAGGCTTGAGGGCTTCAGCCTCCAGGGAGATGCAGAAGGCAGGACCGCTTGTGGCTCCAGAAGGAATGAAACTCTTAGGGAAGAGGACAGGAACCAGGAGGAGCTAAGGGCAGAGTCCCCCGCCCCTCACGGGCTGAACAAAGGGCAGGTGGCGACCCCGTGGTGCTCCTGAGCTGCCAGAGGGCCAAATGATCTCAGAACCCAGTCCTTACATGGGTTCGACTTTATTTACAAGGAACTACGGCCCTTCTACCACACACTTCGAAGGGTTTGGTGAGCTAGAATCCCGATAAGAGGATTTTCGGTTTCTGTTTCCGCCCAGCCCTAAAGAGGCTGCAGCGCTATTCGCGGCGGGGAGAGGGGGCGCAGGCCCGGCGGGGGCGGAGCCCGGAGCAGCGCGGGGCGGCAGCGGGGACGGGAAGGCGGGAGGCGCACACGGGGAATGGCGGTCACGGGCCCCTTGCTCGTTGCGCGTGCTCACGGTGTGTCCGTGGCGGGCCTCGCCGGCTGGGTGGCCTCAGAAAGGAGGCATGAAGTGGCGCCCATGGACCACCAGGAGCCTGTGCTGTCCGTCAGTTACCAAGTGACAGGGATCTGAGGATGCTCCACGACAGATAGGACAGGGGCTCAGCTGAAGGACCCTGCGTGATGATGCGGACTCAGGGGCGGCCCTGGGCCAGTCTGTTTCCTCCTGGTGCTGCACAAGGACTGAGGGCATCCTCGGGATTTCTCATGAATGGTCCCCACCTTCAGAAGGTGTCCAGAGGGGCTCCTGTGTAGTCCAATGCTCCCCTTGTCTTTCTGACTCCCTACAACCCTTCACCCATAGCCTCTTCCTCCCCTGCCAGGGTACCTCTTCCCATTCGCCCATTTTCCAAGGATTCACTCCATTCAACAGCAGTAATCACATTTCCACCTCCAACAATCCCACTGGCATCTTACAGTGTTGCAGGCTCAGGTGCCCAAAGCTCCATCTTTAGGCCAGTCACTGAGGCTCTGCTGAGCTGGGGACCCTGGTGAGTGGGCCGGGGAGGATCAGACCAGCCTGGTCTCACCCAACTTCCTAAAAGCTGAAATATTGCCACCAAATGCCCGCTGAGCCCAGGGGATAATTGTATCACAATCATGCAATTGTAAGGAGCAATGACCCCAGCCTCTAGCCATCTGGGGCACAGAGAGAAGAGAACCTGAGAAGAGAGATGCATATCCATGTGCTTGAACCCTTTGAGATATAGGCAAAATGGAGAGACAGATGGGGATCGAAATACCAACCTTATTCCTGATAAAAGCTGGATTGGGGATGTGGCTTAGATATGTGGCAATAAAGGGACCCCCAACACTGAACTCCAGAACTGGGCTTAGTCGCATGGCCTCAGGCTGCTCCAGCCCTCCCCCACACTATGCAGGCCCCTTCCTTGTGCACTTGAGCTTGGAGGAGCCAACAGAGTCTTGGTCTCTGCAGGCAGGATGACTCCAGGGAGGCCCAGCAAGGAGCAGGCTCACTCCCACTCCCAGTTAGAGAAGAGTCCCCTAGAAGATGGGCGAGGACCAGGCCTTGATTGATTGATGTTCCACCTCCTAGAAGGAGGCAGTTCGGCAGGACTGGGTGCTCCCACTAAATATCCCAGGTGTCTGCTCTTCACTTATCACTTCTACGTCCCTTGGAGGGTGGCCAGGTTCTCTATTCTCATGTCCCAGTGGTGCTGTTGCTGCAGCTGCCTCCTGTCCTGAAACTCTCCGGTCCATGATGCCGGTGACCTCATCTCAGGGATAGACCTCTGGTTCCCACACGGGGGTCCCAGGTTCAAGAATCACCCCCACCAGTAGAGGGTCTTGACTGCAAATTGTCCAGGTTCTTGGAGTTTTGAACAAAGAATTGGACAAAGCGCACAGCAAAGCAAGAAAAGAATGAAGCAACAAAAGAACGAAAGCAGGGATTTATTGAAAATGGAAGTACACTCCACAGTGTGGGACCAGGCACGAGCCGTGTTCAGTGGTCTTGGATACAGAATCTTCTCTGGTCCAAATACCCGCTGGAGGTTTCCCATTGACCACTTGGTGCTCACCTCATGTAAATGAAGTGGTGGCCTGCCATCAGTCTCATTGGTTGCGGAAAGCAACCAATCAAAGGCTGAAGTGAAGTTATAAAGGTCACACTCCTGTGCAAATCACAGGCTAAAGCGAAGTTACAAAGTTGCACTTCTATGCAAAGGAAGACTTGGAGCAAGTCTTCTCCGTCACTTCTTGTTCTTTGAGGAATGATGAATCAGAATCTAAATGGAAAATCTGGGCAGAGATAGAACCCCCAGTGGGAGCCACCCTGCCCTTCCAGGTCTAGATCATCTGGGTTCCAACCTCCATTGGCCTCCAATGAAAAGCTTTTATCTTAACTTTGAAGTAAAGTTACAAAGTTACACTCCTAGGCAAACATCTGATTGGGTGCAAAAGAAACAACTATACATAGGTACTTTCAATTACCCATTGCCCCACAGAAAAGGTGGAGGTTTGCAAAGGGAGTAGCCTCTGGACCTTTTGTTACTTAGGCATGGAAAGTTAGGGTTTTCCTTTCAATTTAGTTCTATGAAGTTAGCATGAAATGGCCTTAGGTTCCCTGCCTCCAGACCCTATTCTCCTGCCTCAGCCACACCACTGAAGTCTGAACTGAAGCTGCTCTTGGTGAAATGTATGAGGCCCATGACCTGGCTGGGTGCCCTGCCTGTGGTCCTTCCTCAATCACTGCCTCTCCTGCTTTTGAGTTTTCCAGGCTCCAGTAACTGGAACTACTTCTGTGACAGCAGAAACATTCCCTATTGCCTGTGCTCCTTGCAGCCATGGACAATGCCCCAGGAGTTCCATTATTTCCTTCTAAATAATCTAGCAGGAGTTTTAGAAGTTCACACGACTTCTTAATTTGGTCCTGTCCCTTTCCCAACCCAGGTGTGTCTGACATTGTTTTCTGGATCAAAGAAGCTTTGCTTTCTTCACAGAGGCCTACAGATTCTCCATATACCAGCAGAGCATGGTGCATGCTCATCTGTCTCCAACCTCATCTGACAAGAATGCCTCCTTCCCTGCTGCCAGGAGGTGCCCCAGCATGGGCGTGTCTGCCCGCGAAGTTCAACCCTTAAGGAATCCCCTGCCAACCTGTGGCTCATTGGTCTGGAATTCCAGGTGCTGCTCTTAGCAGCACCTAAGCACATCCAGGGAAAAGCTAGCACCTTTATGTCAGTGCTGCTCAGTGGCCTGGGCCTGCCTGCTGCCCAGAGGCAGCGAGAGGGGAGAATGTGAACCACACCAGAGCATACTGGTGTGGTCCACTCTGGTGTGGTCCATGCCAGGCCTTCTTGGGGCCAATGTGCCTTATGGAGACTGGGATCAAAGGACAGCTGTGCCAGACAGAGGCTCAGCTTACCAGCCCTTCAGCCCCATAAAGTTGGGGAGTCATGGAGGGTAGCAAGGGTAAGGGAAAGAGAGAGAGACCTACAGGTGTGCAGTGCCTGATAGAAACAGTGACCTTGCCCACCGGAAAAGCTGTCCTCACCAGTGTCCTGGTGCCTGGTCATTCACTCATGGGGAAAAGAAGGGCAGAAGTAGAGTGAGGGTAGAAAGCCCCCTCCCCCACATTTTCAAATGTACCTGGACAAGCATCCTTATTCACAGCTGGAAAAAGTTGGATTCAGTAGAATGCCATTTTGGTTTTTTTTGTTTGTTTGTTTGTTTGTTTTTTTTTTGAGACGGAGTCTCGCTCTGTCGCCCAGGCTGGAGTGCAGTGGCCGGATCTCAGCTCACTGCAAGCTCCGCCTCCCGGGTTCACGCCATTCTCCGGCCTCAGCCTCCCGAGTAGCTGGGACTACAGGCGCCCGCCACCTCGCCCGGCTAGTTTTTTGTATTTTTTTCAGTAGAGACGGGGTTTCACTGTGTTAGCCAGGATGGTCTCGATCTCCTGACCTCGTGATCCGCCCGTCTTGGCCTCCCAAAGTGCTGGGATTACAGGCGTGAGCCACCGCGCCCGGCCTAGAATGCCATTTTGAAAACATCGTTCTGAAGCGCTATCCCCTCTCGCCCCTGAATCCTCACTGGCTTCCACCCTCTGCTGACTTTGGGCCCCGGATTCCAGTGCCCCCAGGCTCCCAGCTGCCTCCCTGTCCCTGCCCCATGGTTCTGCCTGGAGTTCTGGTCCCTGGTTGTGTCCTGTGGCCCCATTCTCATGCGCCCTTTGCTTCTATTTCTTTACCTATGACTTTATACTGATGTAGAGCAAGTCTTCTCGGTCACTTCTTGTTCTTTGAGGAATGATGAATCAGAATCTAAATGGAAAATCTGGGCAGAGATAGAACCCCCAGCAGGAGCCACCCTGCCCTTCCATGTCTAGATCATCTGGGTTCCAACCTCCATCCGCCTCCAATGAAAAGCTTTTGTCTTCTCAAGATTCCAGTTACTTCTCCGAAGTTCTCTTCACCCCTGGCTGTTGCGAGGTGGCCCCATAGTCAAGATTCCTTAAGCCCTTGCACGTAAAATGTTTGCCTTTCTTACCATGCTGGCTCCAGCCTCTGGTCCCAGGGGTGTGGACAGTTCTCTCTTACGTCTGGTTGATTTCCAGGAAGGCTAAGAACACTCCCCCCAGGTTACAATGCCAAGCATTTTGGTTCTCTCCAGCCCTGGGTCCCCATGTTGAGACCTACCTTAGTCCAGTTCACGCTCTTCGATGGGCCTGAGAGAAGACTTAAAAGTTTCTAGCTTTACCCTCTAACCCTCCAACCTTCCATCCCCCATCCCCAGCCATCTCAGCAAGGGGAAGGGGCAAACATGGAGACTCCCCCCAGCTCCCATGTAAACTATGCCCCCTCTTAGAGGGCAGAGCAGCTAAGGACAATTTTGGTTCAAGGAAATTTGTTTGTTGTCCATTGCACAAACAAGTGGACTTCCGGGAGCTGGCCCTGCTCGTCCCCTGGGCCCTCCTTCCCTGGTCCTGCAGGTCTTGCTGCTTGTCAGGCCTCTCCTCCAACCCTCTGCCACATTTCAGAAAAGCTGAGAACCCCTTGGAGTGAAAAAGCAGGAGAAACACAGTGTTCATAGCCAGCAGGAGGTTAAATAAATACTTTCACTTCTCTTTTCCCCATCTGGGCGGAGCCCTTTCTGAGTCAGTCTGTTAGCCGACTTCCTGCTTGGGGCCTGGGCAGCCACACTGCACACAGGCTGGGCCCACGGAGGGGCTCAGAGGCCAGGCTCTGAGGCCCAGGCAGGGCCTAGGGTGAGAAGATGGCAGATGGTGGCGGCGACCTGAGCACCAGGTAAGTCTTTACCTCTCTTCCTTTAACCTTTATCTGTGGCAGTACTGGAGCTTTCATGCCTTATATTTCAGTTTGTGCCTAAGGCTTCACTTTACTTTAATCTTTCTTTGCAAGAACATAGGTGTGCAATGTAATATAATGAAATGAAAGAGCGTGTAATGGGGAGATTAGATTTTTTAAACGGGAGCAGGACAGCTGTTGGTGTGAGTCCAACTTGCCATAACACACGTGACTTTCTTGTTTTGGATCTACTGCTCAGCTGACTGGGATACTCTGAACATAGCAGTCGTTGGTGGCTGGGATTAACTGTTTCCTCATGATCTCTGAACCCTTTCGCATCCCTCAGCCTTCCTCTACCTTCACATATGTCACGTCCAAAAAGGTGGTTTAGAAAATAAGCACTCGAGGGTGAACACCTGGCTTACTTTTAAACATTAGATGCTGTGATCTCACCTGTCCTGGCAAGGGGCATCTGTCGGCTGTTCCCATGACTGGCTCAGGGTCTGAGTTCTTATACCATCAACCTTGATCAAATGAAGGAAAGGGAAGAAAAAGGGCCAAGGTGACAAAAGGCTAAATATTTTCATTTTTACTTCAATTTCCTGTCCCAAGATGGGGGATACCTCTGACCAGAAGAGAGAAGGAAATCCTATCTTTTCTCTAGTAATGAATTCAGAAATAACATTACTTAATCTTTTAAATTTTTTAATACAAAAGAAGTACACTATACATTATTGTTCATTAAATTTAAAACAGGGGAGAAGTATATTAAGGAAAAAGTCATCTTTACTACTCACCCATTCTTGTAGCTTCCCTTCCCAGTCCTGTGAAGAGTCTTGGGCACAGCTTTTCTTATATTTTTCTATGCATTTATGTATCTAATGCATTTTTTGTAAATACATAATTTATGTTCTTGTTTTGTAATAAATTACATTGCATGTGCTAGTCTGCATTTTGCATGTTTACTTATTTTAATAGTGGAAAACTTAAGAGATCTTTTAACCTTAATACATATAGATCTGCCTCATTCTTTTTATACATGCTATTCCATAGAATTGATATATGATAATTATTTAACTATTCTCCAGTTGAAGGACATTTAGGTTGTTTTTTTTTTTTTTTTTTTTTTTTTTTTTTTTGAGATGGAGTCTCGCTCTGTCGCCCGGGCTGGAGTGCAGTGGCGTGATCTCAGCTCACTGCAAGCTGCAAGCTCCGCCTCCCGAGTTCACGCCATTCTCCTACCTCAGCCTCCCGAGTAGCTGGGACTACAGGCGCCCGCCACCTCGCCCGGCTAGCTTTTTGTATTTTTTAGTAGAGACGGGGTTTCACCGTGTTAGCCAGGATGGTCTCGATCTCCTGACCTCGTGATCCGCCCGTCTCGGCCTCCCAAAGTGCTGGGATTACAGGCTTGAGCCACCGCGCCCGGCCTAGGTTGTTTTTAAACTGTTCACATTTACCAATAAGCTATCATAGCAATCATTTTTGTGGGGGGGGTGGGTTTACATCTATACAAGTATTTATCTTATCTTTAAACCTTAAAAATGGAATTATTGAGGCGCAGGGTCCAGTTATTTACTTGGTCCTGCCAAATTGTCTTTCTAGGAGTCTGAATGAATGTATTTCACCAATAGCGAATGTGACGAACCATTTTCCTACACACAGCCACGGTTTGCAAAGGTGATGAATGAAGAGTTACATCTTGTTTTAATTTGTATTTTCCTTACGATGTGGAAAATTGAACAGCTTTTCATCTTTCTTGGCCATTTAAATTCCCTCTTCTATAAATTGCTTATTTTTTGCCAGTATGATTCCGTTGAGGTGTTTGTCCTTTTTTTTTTTCATGATATGGGAGAATTCACTAAATATTCTGTAAGTATAAATATACTTTTCTTGTCCATGACCTTTGTATATGGTGACTTTTATCTTATTAAGGCTTAAAATTTAACATATAAGCCTCTTGTGATATGGATTTGTTAAGATAGATGCACCCTTGTTATAAATGAGGTGATGCTGACAACTTCTGTGAGCACTGTCAGTTTTGACAGTTGTTCCTGTGTGAAGGTGGCAGATTCGCTACTACCGTTATTCCAGGAAGAGCTCCTCCTCTAAGATCTCTGAAAATTTTTTGGATTTTTAAACAGAAATGTTATTACATTGGAACCACTGTAGCCTTCACAGCTTTTATTTGCCCCTATGCTTTCATCTTTTCTGTTTTTTACTTTGTGTTCATAATAGTTGTCTCTAACTTTTCCTCCATGACAATTACCTTTGAATAGGTTTCTTGTTTCTTGTCATTTCTAATTTTTTAAAAATTGAGTGTTTATTTTTGAGGAGGGATCTTAATGTGTTTCTAGACCTCTGCAAGCTCCATAACCTCTTGCCATTCAATCTTCACAGTCTTGCTTTATTTAGGTTTGCCTGTGCTGTTAAGAACTTTGGGATATTCTCCTTATTGTCTCTTAGTTATTTTTCCAGACTGATTCTGTCTGATCTTGTGTTCCGTGTGCCTGTGGTCGCTTTACAGCTCCTCTAGCCAGGCTCAGCCCAGGCAGGTCACCCCAAACTTCCCGCTTGCTTAGTCACAATCTGAATGAACTTTTTTTTTTTTTACATTTCCTGTTTTATCTGAGATCAAATTGGTTTTTGTCTGAGCTACAGTTTGAAGTCTTTGTTTTGATTGTTATCAGTTTTTCTGAGGACACCATGAACTGATGAAATTATCCTTTTCCCTCTTGATTCGCAGTGCTACCCTTTTTGGGAGTATAGAGGTAGGGTGTGCTTCTGTGTTCTCTCTTCTCTGTCCTTGGCCTGTGACAGCCCCTCCTTATGCCAGTACCACGCTGCCACGGTGATGGCAGCTTCCCAGGAACCCTTGACATCTGAGGGAGCAAATCTCTTCCTCTTCCTCCGGATTGTCTTAGACTCCCAAATTCGCCTGTCGAAATCTTGAGATTTTGTGTGGAACTGCACTCAATCTATGAATCAGTTTGAAGAGAACGGACATCTTTATAATATTATGACTTCCATCTCGTGAATATGGTTTATGTCTATTATTACTTTAAACATATTTCCTATTAAAATTTGTATTTTTCTCTCTGAAGGTTTTGCCCTTCTGCTAGATTCCTTTGTAGGTATTTGATATTTTTATGCCATTATTAACTAAAGTACTCCTCCCTTATCAACAGTTTTACTTTCTGAAATTTCAGTTACTTGCAGTAAAACTGGGTCCAAAAGCATTAAATGCAAAATTCCAGAAAATAATTCATGAGTTTTAAGATACTTCGCATTCCGAGGAATGTGATGAAATCTCATGCTGTCCCTCTCCATCCTGCCCAGGATGTGAACCATCCATTTATCCAGGGTATCCACAATGTTGACACTACCAGCCCATGAGTCCCTGAGTAGCTGTCCTGGTGATCAGATCGACCGTCCTGGTGTAACAGAGCTCGTGTTCCAGGAACCCTTATTTTAGTCAATAATGGCCCCAAAGCATGAGAAGATTGATGCTGGCAATTCAGATATGCCAAAGAGAAGCCGTCAAGTGCTTCCTTTAGGTGAAAATGTGAAATTTCCTGAAAGAAAAAGATAATATGTTGAGGGTGTTAATATCTACAGTATGATGTTTTGAGAAAGGAAAAGAAACCACATTTACATAATTTTTAGTATAATACATTGTTATAGTTGATCTACTTTATTATTAGATATTGTTATTAATCTTTTAGTGTGCCTTATTTATGTATAGATAGGGTAAAACGTAGTATATCCAGAGTTTGGTACTATCTGCAGTTTCAAGCATCCACTGGGGCTCCTGGAAGCATCCCCTGTGGGTACAAGGGAACTAGTGTACTAAATTTTATGTATAAATTTGCATTGGTGACCCATGTTCTGATCCATAGTTCTATTTTTCATTCTTGTTTCAATACTGAAATGTTTTAGTTACTATGATTTTATAGGTAGTGTTCTGTAACCTACCTTATTGGGATTCAATTGAGAGACACTAAATGAACAGATAAATTTAGGAAGAATTTATGTTTTTAAAAAAATCCTGAATGACCCCAGTTAGAAACATAGCATCTCTCTCCATCTATTCATGATTCTTTGAACTTGGGACCCTTTGGGGTCACTTTAGTGCTAGGCATTTTAAAATTGTATTTGTAAATAGGAATTCATTTTCCTGTTACATTTTCTAGTTATTTCTTGTAGGCATAAGGGAAATCTATTGATTTGAGTTCCCTGATCTTGTGCTTAGGAGTCTTACTAAGTGATCTTATCTCTCTTAATATTGTCTCATGTCTTTCTGGAGAAATAATTACATCTTCAAAAATAGTAGCAGTTTTGCCTCCTCTTTTTCAGAATTTATGATATTACCGTATACTTTTCTTTTTCTATCTTACTTTTCTCTTTCTCTTTTGCCTTAGTGCATTAGCCAGGACTGCCAGTGTAATACTGAATAGTAACAGTAAAACCGAGCATTTTAGCTTTGTTCCTGAGTTAGAGGGGAATACTTATAATGTTTACATTGAGGCTTTCTGATAGACACCTTTTTTCAAGTTAAGGACATTTTCTGCTGGCTCTGGTTTACTAAAAGTTATTTTTTTAATCAGGCCCGTGTATAGGATATTTATCAAAATGCCTACTAAAGAATCTTTGAGAATTGTATCATTTTTTCTCTTTTCATCTGTTTTGTCCAGAGTAAATTATATTGAAACATTTTATGAATTCAGTTATTAATTTCACCAAAGTAAAACGTATATATAGCTTAAAGTATCAGTCGATAAGGCCTTCACAAACACAACTAGTTCTTTCTGCCATCTTCCCAGTCCATGTCCACTTTCCCAAATGGATTATCTTTAGCTTTTTGGCTCTTCCTTTTGTATTGACTTCTGTAATTTGAAATGATATGCTGATACAGCTCTTTGTAATTTTTCGAGTTTCAGACATTGATTCGTTCACATAATAGGACAGAAGATGAAGACTTTTTCCGTAACACTCCTTTTCATTCCCTGTCCATTCTCATAATACATCACAGTTGGAGGTTCATCAGTAATCAGTGTTACCATTATGATGACTACTTAAATGTTGTTCACAACCAAGTCATCTACTGTATTATAATTACATTTCCTTTCCTGTGCAACATCCCCCCCCAACCCCCGCAAATAACTATTGCCCTCTTATATATTTGCTTGGATTTTGTGTATCCTCACTATGAATTCTTCCCAAGCACTCTGCAGAATTCTAAAATTCTTCTCAGTACAGTGAGACACACTGGGTTATTTATCAATTCCATTTTACTTTCTTGGGGAAGCCCTCCTGGAATTATCCATTCTCCTGATTCCATCAGTTCTGGTTAGTTTCAGTTTCCAAGGCTGACCTTCTGAAGCTTGACATCTCTCCTGTGTTGGGTCTTGTTTTGTGAATTACACGTATACCTCTTTCTTGCTTTACTATCTCATTTTGGTTTACCACATTATCCAGTAGCCTCCTGACTAAGAGCTCATAGAAGATGTATCTCTCTCTCTCTCTCTCTGTCTCTGTCTCTCTCTCTCTCTATATATATATATATAATATTTTGTATATTGTATATTTTGTTTTATATATATATACACACACACACACACACACACACATATATATATAGAGAGAGAGAGAGAGAGAGAGAGAGAACCTACCTTACTGGGATTTAATTGAGAGACATTATATATATATATGTGTGTGTGTGTATAAATTGTACATGTCTGGAAAAAAATTTTATCCGTAATCCTCACAACTGCATAAATATTTGTTAAGTATAAATGCAGAGTTTGGAAATTAATTTAGTTCACTGTCTTGCAACTTCTGGCATTGCTAATAGGAAGCCTGATGCCATTGTGATTCTTGATCCTGTCTTTCTGTGTCACCTATGTTGCCTCTCTGAAACTCTCTGTCTTCTCTTTAATCCCTTGATTCTAAAATTTCATGATGGTTTGCCTTGATGTGAGTGTTAAATATATTTGTTGTGCTTTGCTCTTCAGGGCCTTTTCAAATGGACAACTTTATTTCAATTCTGATCATTTTGCTTGTGATATTATTTGATTATTTTTCTCCCTTCTGCTTTATCTCTCTCTTTTATCTTTTGGAATTCCTGTTAGTTGGATGTTAGGTTTCCTAGATTGATCCTCTAGAGACTCCGTGTTTTTTTCTTGAAAATCTTGTATATCTTCTTTTCTTGAATCTACCTTCTATGACATTTTCTGAGGACGTTCATTCCTTCTAGTGATTACAAAACTTCTGCCATTATATTTTTAATTTCCAAAAGATCTTTTGAAAAGCTGGTTGTCTTTTATAGCATCTTGTTGTTGTTTCAAGAAATCAAAAATTTTCTCTCTAATAATGAGGATGATAATTTTTAAAATTTCATGTTTCTTCCAAGATTGTTTTAAGTGTTAGTTCCTTCCAGGTTTCTTTCCCAGCTTCTGCTCCATTATTTGCTTGTTCTGAAAGAATTCATCAAGTGTCCATTGGGTAACCATTCACATTTAAGAATCAGACACTAAAAATTTGATTAGGAGCTCTGTGCAAGGAATGCCTCTCATTGAGTGTACCTCATTTCGATTTTTCATTTTCCAACTCACCTTCTGAAGGAATGGTGCCACTAATTCCTGACAACTTCCTGAGTTCAAAAGTATACACTGGCTTAC